CGACCAGAGCCGGGGCTTCTACCTGGTGGAACTCTCTGCCAAATAACCTGATGTAGTTCCACAGGGCCTGCAAGGCAGAGATGTTTTGCCAGGCTTTGGGCTGAGGGCAGCAATGGGCACCATCTCGGCTGGCATCCCCCACCCTTTTTCGTGCCTTCTCCCCACCTCTACCACGAGGAGATGACGCTGTCTGAAACCCAATGTATTAGTGCCATTTGAAAAACGGTTTTTACGATATGTATTTTTATTATGGTACGTATTTCTATTGTTGTTCACCGTTCAGAGCCCTGAGTACTCAGGGACTGGGCGATTCACAAATCCAAATGATAAATAAATAAATGAAATGTTACTTTGGCAGCAGCTGCCACCACAGCACCAGGATCTTCACTATGTGACTGAAAGGAAGCCGCAGCAGTCATCTCTGTGGCGCCCATTTTGTGGCCGCGCCCACCACGCTGTGTTGGCCCCGAGCTCAAAAAGGTTGGGGACCCTTGTTGTAGGATAACTCTTGGGGTCAAGATGCTGCTAAGTTCTAGATGACAATGCTGCCTCAGTTTCCCACTCCCTCTCTCTAGCTCGCTTCATCAGAGACCCTCTTTCTCGTGAAACAGTTGCGTACTTTGAAACCATCTGACAGGGAAACGAGTTGTTTAAACAACCTCACTTGGACTGCTGTAAATCAAGAGGATGGTGGAGGGGCCATGGCTCAGAAGAGGAGAAGAAGAAGAAGAAGAAGAAGAAGAAGAAGAAGAAGAAGAAGAAGAAGAAGAAGAAGAAGAAGAAGAAGAAGAAGAAGAAGAAGAAGAAGAAGAAGAGAGACTGGATTTATACCTCGCCCTTCATTACCCAAAGGAGTCTCAGAGCGGCTTACAAACTCCTTTCCCTTCCCCTCCCCACAACAGGCACCCTGTGAAGTAGGTGGGGCTGAGAGAGAGCTCTTGAGAACTGCCATTGAAAGAACAGCTCTGAAAGAACTTATGACTGAACCAAAGTCACGTCAGCAGCTGCATGTGGAGGAGTGGGGGAATCAAACCCGGTTCTCCCAGATTAGAGTCCACGCTCTTAACCACTACGCCAAACTGGATCTCCACAACTGATCTTAGCCAAAAGGCTGAGAACTGATAGAACAGTGGTAGAACATCTGCTTGGCATGCAGAGAGTTTGAAGTTCAATTCCTGGCATCTCCAGTTAAAAGCACCACACAGTGAGAGCGATCAGACGGCGCGTACAGCGATTACAACCATTGTACTCAGGATACCACCACTTGGGGACCTAGTGGCACAATACAACGGTTTAAAGGGCTTTGCAACGGTTAGGGACGGAAGGCAGATGTTCTATGTGTGAACGCTGGTAAGTACACCGATTGCAACCGGCACCTATACTGTTGCAAACGCCGCGTCTGAACGCATCCAATGGGTGATGGGAAAGACCTCAGCCCAAGACCCCAGAGAGCTGCTGGCAGTCTGATCAGACAATACTGATTAGATCAAGGGTCTGATTCAGTAGAAGGCAGATTGGTGAGTTTACCGTGACATGCAAAGGAATGGGCTGATAATGATTTCACTCCCCCCCCCCAACCCCCCAACTTTGGCTGCATGTTTTAATAGCCACCCTTAGTATTCTGCTGAGCGGAACAAGTTTCAGTAAATGCCAGATACTTCATACCATGCTGGCAAAGGACGGCATAAGAAAAAGCTGGCAAGCATGTGGGAGATGCACAAAAGGAGAAAAGGAAACCGTAAAAAGCAAGCGGCCCACTGCGAAATAAAAAAAGGGGAAATTCAACAGAGGAAAACCATTTGTAAAATAAATGTTTTCTCTTCCAATGGCTTAACCAGCGGGAAGTTTCTTTCAAAAGCGTTTAAATGTGATCTCTTAAACGCTGCTCATTCTCTATGAACTCTAATGTCAACTTTCAGTTAATAGCGCCTGGCGTTCAGAACAGGTTTTCCCACTTAACTGCAAAAGGAAAAAAAAAATAAAAATAAAAATAATAATAAAATAAAATACAGCAGCTATCTTTCTGGCTAAGTTCCCTGAAAAACCTGAGATAACTCCCAGACTCCAGACACCGGTCTTAGAGGCTCTTAATCCTCAGAGTACAGATAATTTCACCCAAAGGAAGAAAAAGACTGAGCATTGGAAAGGGGGTGGGGGAGAGACACCGAAGCCAATTTTCCCTTATCGCTCTGATCTTTAAATTGCTCTTAATAATCTTCTTTTGCAATAAAACAGGGAGCCTGCGGTGCGGCCTCTTGTCTGCGAGGGAGACGGGTCTGTCTGTCAGAGCTGCGGCTTTCAGCCCGGAACCCAGGCGCATGAGCCTCCTTTATCTCCTCCCGCATGGGTGACGGGGAGAAATCCAAGAGCTGGCTATTTCAGCGCCTGCCTCTTTTATCTCTGGGCTTCTGCTGGAATCTGCTAAGGAGACTAATTACCCAGTTTGGACTTTCCCCTGCCTGACACACAGCTTTAGGGCCACTTTAAAGCGATGGCTAATTGTCTCGTGCTTATCTGGGACAGCAGTCAGGTAAAGATGCTCAGGGAGTTTCCAGTTCTCAGGGAATTGTCTGACAGACGTGTTCGCCCTCACCCGGGCGCGCCTAGGCCTATCTCGACTTGAGGGTCGTTTTTGGTGCAGTCCCTCCACCCCGTCAGACAGTACGCAATGGTTTCACTAGATCAAAACCAACATTCACCCACTAGTCTCGTATCTCATTTTCCACTATGTAACCTGGGGGATTGAGTTCTTAGTGATATGCCACTGACGCTCATTGGGAAAGCAAGCAAACGTCTGGCAGATGTCTTTGGTTACATGCACAGTATAAACACTCTTCTCAATTATCAAAACAGCAGCAAGTCCTTGTTATCTGAATTCACAGTGTGTTCCTGAGAAGGATGCTTCGCCACGTAAATAAGGGCTTTTGCTTCTGTGGATTGCCTGGTTTCCCAAAGTGCCAACAGCTGAAGGACTCAGAGCTGATTCTGACATCATGTTATGTAGTCATGGGACTGGAGTTTGACGTGATCTCTGCATATACACGCAAGGAAATATACTGATATACTGGCTCTCCACTTAACCTTCCAGACACGGGTCAGTGACCATCGTTCTAAGTTCCTGTTGGGGGTCTGGTCTTGGAGCTGTTCCCAAGGATGTTAAATGAATGACCAACTCCTAAAAGATCACCATTATATTAAAAAAAAGGCAACTGGATTTCTCACCTACTTTGAGACTTTTTCTGAGAGATGTGAAGCAGAAGAAGGCAAATTTGACATGAGCTCAAGTATACTAATTGCAAATACACAAGTTCCATGCGCAAAAGTAGAGCACAGAAAGTTAGGGGTGGAGTCCTCCAGACAACAGAGATCGGTTCTCCCGGAGAAAATGGCTGCTCTGGAGGGCAGACTCTACGGCATTATAGTCCCAACCCCACCTTTCCCAGGCTCCGCCCCCAAATCTCCAGAAATTTCCCAACCTAGAGTTGGCAACCCTATGCAAAGTTGCCTTTAGTCGAGGCAGAGGGCATCCACTTGATTAGGCCTTCTCTCCCCAGGTGACTGTCAGGTCCTGGAAGCCAGACTGGGAACACATTATCTGCTGTTGAGGCGCGTTGTTGTTTAATGCAGATGTTTTAATGATATAAGGATGACGATTTTATGGATTTTAGACTGAGTATTGTAATATGTTTTTAATATTGTAAATCTGCATTAACTGCAGATATGTATATGTTGTTACCCACCCTGAGCCTACAATGTGGGGAGGGCGGGCTATAAGTCTAATGAAATAAACAAACAAACAAACAAGTTCCACCAGCCCAAAGCAATGGAAAGCAGATATATGAGACCAGTGCAACAGAAAACAGGCCAGACCTCTGAGACTGCGCGTGGGTCAAGGAGGGACGATGCCCCTTCTCTCTTCATCAGACTCTGCTTTAACCACACTTAAGATAAGTTGCAAAAATGTTCACTGTAGTAATTTCTGTAGAAAATTCTATTATCGTTCGCACGCTAACGAATACTGTGCAATGAACAATTTGTTTCACAATATTTGCTCTATCTGAGCATGTAGCAATCCCAATTATTATCAATCACCACTTATCAATCACATTGTGAAGACCTTGGGTTCCGTTATTAGAGAGTCAACATGGAATGTTTCCTTCAGGAGTTGGTAAGTGGTGATGGATAAGAATTGGGATTGCTACACGCTCAGATAGGGCAAATATTGTGAAATGAATTGTTCACTGTGCAGTATTCGTTAGCGTGTGAGCGATAATAGAAGAGAATTTTCTACAGAAATTACTACAGTGAACATTTTTGCAACTTATCTGTATCGACTCTTTGTTGTTTTTGTCACGGATGTTGTTTTTGGAGTTCCCCTTCCTCCCGTGATCTCTCATTTTTGGCTTCTATTTAACCACACTTAAAGCAGATGTAGTTAAGGGTAACCATGTCCCACGATCAGCCGGGTGAAACTGTCACTGTTGTTTACAGTGGCACGGTTTGGATGAGACTTCCCCTTACCCGCATTTGGTGGGGAAGAAGACTGCACCTCTCCCCCCATGACCACACCTGTTCTGCCACCAAATATCCACGAGTGGACGTAACGTTTGATATAGCTATGCAGATAAACCCCAGTGTGTGTCCGTCTTGAAGGGCAAAATCAATATGGCAGATTGGAACGGTGGAATTCTGGGCCCGGGCGAGCCGGATTCAACTTGTGAATGTGACAACCTTGCATAGATGCCTGGTGGCCTTGGGAGGCTGGACAGGCATACCTGGTGTGCAAGCGTACCTGATGGATGTTTCCACAATGCAGCACAGAGAGCACTCAGGGATTCTCCCATCCAAGGTGGGTCATGGAGGCAGATATACATGGAAGTGTATAGTTTAAACATATGCAATAACATCCTCCCCCCCCCCTTTTTAAAAAACGGATAAGTTATCTTTGAAGTTGCTACTTTGCAGAACAACATCTTCGGAGTGGCTTTGCCAGTACTTACTCTGAGCCTGTCTCTGGGAAGGGCGACAGCGCCTTGCTTGATGATTTCCAGAACGCGCTCCACTGACAACTCGGCCCCGGCTTGCTCAATGCGTGAGCTAAAGAAGCTGATCACCTGAAGAGAGATATAAACGAGTACAAGCATGGTTTAATTGAGCAATGTCAGGATCTCTGTCTGATGCATGGTGTTGTCCAAGTCACTGGTGCCTTGAAAGCTGCCTAAGTGGACTAAGGAAGTGATTTACATTAGGGGTGCCCAACCTTTTTGAGCCTGCGGGCACACCTGGAACTCTGACATGGCATTATGGGCGCAGCCACAAAATGGCTGCCACCAACCTCCAATAGTCAATAAGACTGTTTTACACAGAGAGTGATTAAAATTAAATTAAAATTTGCTGCCAGAGGATGTCGTGATGGCCACAGGAATAAACAGCTTTCAAAGCAGATGGGATGGATTCATGGAGGGTAAGTCTATCAGTGGCTACCAATGTTCCCTCTAAGCTGTGGAGTCTTGTGAGCAAAAATTCTTTTTTGTGAGCTACTAGAATTAAAGTTGTGAGCGAGCGATTTGGCTACTGCATATATTAGTTTGCTGTGGAGCCATCCTTCCTGAGCTAAGACAAAAATATGTGAGCTGGAGGCTAAAAAACTGTGAGCTAGCTCACACTAACTCAGCTTAGAGGGAACACTGGTGGCTACTAGTCGTGGTGGCTGAAGGGAACCTCCACATTCAGAGGCACTAATCCCCTGAATCCCAGAGCCAGGAGGCAACATCAGGGGAAGGCCTCGGCCTCCATGCCCTGTTGTTGGCCCTTCAAGCATCATGGTGTATTTGTGCACCTTCCGGGGTTCCCCCGGCTTTTCTCTGATCTTTCTCAGACCTGTTTTGCTCCAAAGTTTTGGGAAAGACTACAGTAAAGCCTCAATGGCTGCTCTGTGCATGCGAAAATTCAGACTTTCCCATCCGAATGGCAGCAATTATACCTGACGCTGTCTCCTTGGGAGCCGTTTCCTCCCCCTGCCACTGGGGGGAAGCTTTTATTATTTTTAAAAATAGCACTGGAATCTTGCAATATCAATATACCGTTGTAACTACAGTTGCCAGAACCCTCCTGGCAATTGGTGGGGGTGGGTGGGGGTGACTTACCAGGAACAGCAGGGAGGCCCATCTGATGTGCAGCAACCAGGGCTATTTTGGGGCAGGAACGCACAGGAACGGAGTTCCGGCTGGCTCCCAAGTTGGCCACACCCAACTTATTAGGATTGGCTACATTAGGGGTGTGTGGCCTAGCATGCAAAGGAGTTCCTGTTACAAAAAAGCCCTGGGTTTGTTTTGACCACAAACAAGGTACACAGAATAAGAAGCAAAAGGTGGGTGTGGCTGGATAACCACACTTCTGGTAACACGGGGGTGTGGCCTAATGTGCTAATGAGCTGTGCTGTCAGGGATGTGGCCTAATATGCTAATGAGTTTTTGCTGTTGGGTGTGGCCTATTATGCTAATGAGTTCCTGCTGGGCTTTTTCTACAAAAAGAGCCCTGGCAGCAACATGTCTAGGTCAATGGCCATGTGACCTGGAAGTGACATCAACAGTATTTGGACAAGAGCTCTATGGTAAATTTGGCTTTTACTACAGAGTTTTCGCCCAAATATTAGAGCATCGCCCCGACAACCTGGATGTGATGATGTCACTTCCAGGTCATGTGGGCAGTGACTTAGACACAGGGTTGCCAGACCCCCTGGTTTGGCAGGGGTCCCCCGCTTTTTGGGGGCTTCTGCCCGCCGGTGGCCAGCTGGCCACCGGCAGGGGAAAGCCCCGCCCCCAAGCCCCAACACCATCCGCCGCCCCTCTCCCTTCTTTCTTGAGAGAGAGGAGGGAGAGGGTGGCTGTGGTCAGGCACGCAGGGAAATGCCGGCTCCCTGCAGTTAATGGGGCCCCTTTAACCGCAGGGAGCCGGCACCCCTGTCGGGTGGGTGGGGGACATCCCCAACGTGACATCATCACGTCAGGGATGCCCCGCCCCCTCCAGGAACCCCCCCCCCAAAGTTCCCCGCTTGGGGGGGGGAGACGATAGGACTTGGCAACCCTACTTAGACATGTTGCTGCATCTCCCTTTTTTCTGGGGTAAGTTCCCCCCTAATGGTCAGCTGATTGGCGGCAGGAATGTGGGGCCTGGCAGTGGGGGGACCCCTGCTCCCACTGGAGATACCAAGGAATGAACCTGAGATCTTCTGCCTGCCAAGCAGATGCTCTACCGCTGAGCCACAGCCCGCCCCCTATTGCCTGGGTAGACCAGCCCTCTTGAAAAATTCATTTTTTCCCAAAGTTTGTGGGAAACCAGGAGACTGAGAGCCTTCCTGACCAGCTCTAGAAACATTTCCAACAATATGGTTCTGGGAAACATGCATACAGTCTTGAGAAATTGGGGCGACCTATCAATAAAGAGAAGTAACACTTAAGTTACGGAAGTATGCATTATTATCGTTGTCATTTACACTACACCCTTCTCACTAGGACTCAAGGCGGATTACAAGTACGATTTAAAAAAAACAACACCACCTTTCAGTCAATCAGCAAGCAGATTACAAGACCCCGGCATCTTCAGAAGGCTCTGCTCAGATAAATCGAAGCTCTAGCAGCACAGAGGGAGAGGAGGTCCTGCAGGTACGAGGATGCAGTGACTTCAAGGGCTTCGTAGGCAATCGCTAGAACCTTTGATAATCGGCATCAAGGACCGGGAAGTAGTTTACTGCATTGTACTAAGGTGCCAGGGATGCCTTTGTACTCCCAGAGCTAGACACCCAACTGGAGCCGTTAAGCCTAATTAGGCCCTTACAACTCTTGCAGCTATTAGTAAAACAAAAGACAAGCTGATGGTTTGATTACTCTGGGGATTCAAATGAGACCCGGGGTTCCTGCAAGACCGTGCAGGCATCGCCGCCCTCTTTTAGAGCAGGGAGATTTGTCAGGCTTGCAAATAAATCTTTTCAGGATATGCTTAAAGTGCAAAGCAAATGAAATTGGGGGGGGGGGGAGGAAATAACCCTCAGCAAAGGAATAACTACCTATAGCCTGCGGATTGTAATCACCCCCTACAAATGAAGCCTAAACACATTCTCCCAGCCCCCCCCCCCCATTTAAAACCCCACCAAGCAAACCTTTCAGACTCAGACTTATTTGGGTCACCCTGTTGGCCTGAAGCAGCAGAACAAAGTTTGAGACCAGTGGCGCCTTTAAGACCAACAAAGTTTTATTCTGGGTATAAGCTTTTGTGTACACACATGAAGCTTTGTTGGTCTTAAAGGTGCCACTGGACTCCACCAACTTTAGTTTTTTAGGACAACTATGCTTGATAGTGGCTGCGGTGGCTCAAGTGGTTACGACGCTGAACTGCAGGCCGGAAGGTCGGTAGTTTGACAGCTCGAGACCAGAGTGCCGCATGACGGAGTGAGCTCCCGTCTCTGGCCCCAGCTCCTGCCAACCTAGCAGTTTGAAAGCAAGAAATAGCAAGTAGATAAATAGGTACCATTTTGGTGGGAAGGGAACAGCGTTCTGTGCGCCTCGGCATCTAGTCATGCCGACCACATGACCACGGAAACATCTTCAGGCAGCGCTGGCTCTTCGGCTAGGAAACGGAGATGAGCACCGCATCCCTAGAGTCGAATTCGACTGGCTTTCGAGCAAGGGAACCTTTACCTTTACTATGCTTGATAGTACCTCCATTAGCCTAGGACAGGGGTTCCTAAGCTTTTTGAGCTTGCAGGTGTCTTTGCAATCCTGGCGCAGTGCGGAGGGTTCAGCCACCAAATGGCTGCCGCAAAATGGCTGCTGCAGGAGGCAGATCCGGCCACAAAATGGCTGCTACAGCTTACCTTCAGTCGCGCAGTGAAGATCCTTGTTTTGTGGTACTATATAAAACTTAAAACCAAGCTTTATTTGGTGTTAAGTTTCATAGGGTTTACATTTTTCATCAATTTCCTTAAATTGCTGTAAGTATGTTTTGTGGCACCGGCTGCCGCCAAAGCAACGTTTCTAAAAATCTGCACAGCCAACCAAAAGTCCAGTGACTGATTGGAAGCCTTCCTGGACAGAATGGCCACCTGGCTCTGCCCACTTTCTAGAAACCCTTGGTAGGTGCCCCTGGAAAGATGGTGGTGGTGGGTGCCATGTTGGGGGTCCCTGCCAAAGGAGTTTACAAACCAGCTGTATGATCAAAGTGCCTTACACTTACAATATCCAGTGGCGTTTCATCTCCATTAGTATTGGGGACTGAGCTTATTCGTGACCGGTGACAGGCACTGTCATCAAAAGTAACATTCTGCCTATCGCAATTTGATAGTCTTTTAAAAACAAACAAAAGGTAATAACGTCCAGGTAACGGCTTGTCATACTGTCTTACATTCCTCTGACGTGTTCTCTGATACGCCATCTGGGAAACCAACTTGCAGACATATGCTGCTCATAAATGCTAGTAATGGTCAGGTAGCTAAGTTTGTATGCTTTAAAAATGTCTTTGGTATTGCCGTGCGGCATTACGTCACTCAACAGCGGTATTGGTACAAGGATTGTTGGATGATTGTATCTAAGTGGGAGGGGTTGTTTTGGAGTTTTTCTTTTTGTTTCTTTATACTGGATCTTGATTTGGCATTGTATGAATCTACTGTACCTTTGGAAAACTGAAATAAAAACAACGTTGAAAAAAAAGGAACTGCACCTCTAACAATGGGAATTATAGTTCTTCTAGTTTATGTTTTCGGAAGGTATGAATGATACATAAAGAACCCTACCACAAAACCAGCGCTATTGCTTTACTGGCGAGCTTCTTACTAGCCACCGGTGATGGTGACTCCAGCGCAATCTTTGATCAAAGACCCATCCATGAGCCCCCGACCCTTCTCCCCACCCCACCATGCTGCAAAGCTTTTCAGCTGCATGCACAAGGTGTGCTGCCCTTTAAAAGGCTCCACATCGGATGGAAGACTACTTTGATTCCAGCAAGATCGCTGCTGTTTGGTGTAGTGATTAAGTGCGCGGACTCTGATCTGGGAGAACCGGGTTTGAGTCCCCACTTCTCCACTTGCAGCTGCTGGATGACCTTGGGCAAGCCATAGTTC